CATTCTTTCCCTGGTCCTTCAGGAAATTCACACGATCAATTTCCCATACTTGCTTCAGAATTTTTCCTCGTCCGTTTACTGACTTTTCTGCCTCATCAAATATATGATTTAGCTCCTTCACGTCATTCTCATCAGACTATAGCATTCACAAGCTTTGACAGTTCAGCGTTCTCCTCATTATTCAGTTGAATCTTAGACTTCTTCCAGTATTTCACTGCGATTTTCCTGTAACATTTTCGCTCTCCTCTGATGTTTTGAATGCGCTTTTTTCTGCTCCCTGGACTTAGGATATCGATATGATGGTGGCTTTTAGCACTACGGCGAATGTGAGAATGAGCTTTTGCCTGCCGTTTCGTCAATGTCTTGTCCAGCTGTCTTGACAACAACTTGCAACTATCACAGCAGTTGTGTAGATCTGAACGCCGTACTTTATTGTTGTTTTTGATCGCTTTGGGCTTATGCCATACTGCACAATTAACATGACGATTGATCTTCCATGGCCAGTCTGTACTAAACAAACTTTTTGGCTGATACCCGAGCCTGGATTGCAAATTGCAATATTTTGCACTATTTAGCCCAGGACAGACAACATAAGGACTTTGTAGACTTATTTTGCTCACTACCTCTGACAGCTGACTGGTATCTTGAGTGTCAATAGTTCCAGATTCAACTATACCTTGAGCTTTGAACTTGTTATCGATAAAATTGGTCTTGCATCTTCGACACGTTCTTCTTGAACATGTACGCCAAGTTGTAAATTCTTTATTTTCTCTACACGTTCCTTTGACTCCTGGCTAGATAAATCATCGTTTGTTTTTTTGTACTCCCAAGGTATTCTTCTTGATATTACTTTTGCTATGCTTTGAAGTACGGGTTGAGATAMCGATGTTGAATATTCATTAGTTGAACCTACGATAAAGACCAATAAAACTCATCTCTGTCATCACTGTAATTATAAACATGTGTGTGACAAACAGTAAAGGTCGTACAAATCCTGAAAAAGGTCAAAAGTCTTCAAATTGAGCTTTATATATGATGACAACTTAGCTTACCTTGTTCATTGCCTATTGCCGGCTCTGACGTTTTTCGTTTTTTAAGAGCTTCATTTCGGCTTTTCCCGGCTTCGCTTGGTCTTTTTCTCCCCAAGAGTGTCTCACGGAGTTTTGTTCGTACTTGAAGACTCAAGTTTTTAATTTCTAAGTTTTTARTACCTCGTTTTAGGACAGGAAAAGCGCCACATTTCGCTACGTCCACGACAAAAACACCGGCTTTGTTTACTGCAAGACCGGAAGACGCCTACCCTCAAGAAATCAACCAATCAGGTTCTTCGTTCAAAATATCTCCAAACTAAAAATAGCATCAAACTGTACAAGACTATATAGGGGAGAATCCTTCTCTTAGTTCATACTCTCTTGTCTTGAATCCTTACCAGTAAACCGGTAAGAAAATTCCTTGTCCTTTGTTCTTTCCTCAATACACTTAACCAGCTGTTTTTTCAGCCTTATCGCCTTGACTTCCACCTCCATTGCCTCAATATWTCTCCTAATGGGACTCTGGGATATCTCTGACAGGGAAGAAATTGCTGGTGGGAGATTACTGGTATTAAGGGCCAAATCTAACAACTTACCATAAAGCTTTTGCACAGCATTATTTTTCAGGTGCAAAGGCTCTAAAACCTCTTTGTCACACAGATTGCCAAAAAATGGTTTAAATTCTTGCCTAGACCTTTGGTTCGCAATAAACTTTGTGATTCTTGATCTTTTTGTTGAAGAAGCCAATTTGTTTAGTAACTTTTCTTTAAATTCAGTTACCTTTTGTGCCACTTTCACTCTTTCATTGTATTCCCAAGGCTTCCACTTACAATCTGATGTGGTACCAAATTTTCCCTGTTAACTATCAATATCACTTAAACAGACATGGGCAAAACTTGAAAAATGAGTAGCAGAATTAAATAGTTCTCCATTCAAAAATGCAAGAAATTTCACATCAGAAGGAATCAATTCAAATGTAAACTTAACTTGTAGATCACATACTGTATATGACTTAAGTTCTATTGCAGCACACTGCTGTGTTATCAGCCTTGTAAATTTTGTCACAACAGCATGGGTTTCCTTACAATAAGGCCCAAATAAAAGGAAATTATCATTAGGACTAGCCATTCCCGAACCAGCATTCAGAAAACTCACAGGCCAAGACATTGACTCATCATATTTCCCAAATGGTGCCCCATCACCACCCAAAGCAACTTTAAATTCACCCTTTTTTCCACCAAACCATAATAATAATAATAAATATGTTCTTATATAGTGCATTATAGACTCTCAATGCGCTTTAAAAATACCACGACAAAATGTCAAGTGAAAAAAAATAGATTAAAGTTACAAATTGAACAAAAATGTTTTTAGTTTTCTCTTGAATATTTCCAAAGACTGTGATGTTTTTATATCTGGTGGTAAACGGTTCCATAGTCTGGGCGCTGCTACGGCAAAGCTACGCGCACCATATGACTTAGTACGATATGGAGGTTGTTTTAAAATTACTCCTTGTGTGGCACTCSTTAGCTTAYGAKTAGGTTGGTGTATTTTGAGAATATCACTCATATAGGATGGAGCGATACCGTTTATAGCTTTGTATGTGACCGTTAAAAGCTTGAATTCAATTCTTTTGGCAACGTTCAACCAATGAAGAYGATTGARTATAGGTGTTATGTGTTGAAATTTCTTTGCTCTGATGGTAATGCGAGCAGCTGCATTTAATATACGTTGCAATTTGACAAGTTGCTTCATCGGAATACCAAAAAGGATGCTATTACAGAAATCAATTTTGGAGCACACAAAAGCATGAACTAGTTTTTCAGTGGTAGTTTGATCTAGATAGTTCCTGATTTTTCCAAGGTTACGTAGTGAAAGATAGGACGATTTACATACATCATTAATTTGCTTAGTCATGACCAGATGTTTGTCATCTAAGTCTATCTTCTTCTTTCCTGTAAGGGTCTACCTGTAGATAAAATTCTGCAAGACAAATTAGCATGTTCTCCAAATTCCTGTATACACCATTATACTCTTTGTTCAGCTGGCAAATCATAGCACAGTGTTTCTCTTATTGATATGAGCTCCCCAATCTCAATACTGTTCACCTTAGACATTAGATCTTTGTAGGAAAGAATTTGTGGTATATGTATTCCCCCACCATACCCTAACCTTTTCCTACTAAGATATCCCTTAGAGGTTTTACTGCCTATAGAATGAGTGCCTAGAGCAGATCTTGCTTGCTCATATTTCCTCTTACTTCCTAGCCCACCAGCATAAAGAAGGGAAAATGAACGAATGATGTTGTCTTGGCTTTTTTCAAAACTTTTTCCTGCATCATTTGCAAGATCAATGCTTGCATTTCTTAATTTCTTTGAACTTCCTATTCTTGGTTTTCACCCACGTGACCTCCTTCTTGACAACGGTTGCTATCCGCCATGTTGGTGCTCATGTAAGTGTAAACAAATGCTTAGCGCAGAGAGTCCAGAGGTAGAAAATCGAGATGGTTCTTTGCGTTGTTCCTGGCTGTGGAAGTAGAAGTGAACGAGATAAAGGCATTGGATATTATCGCATACCTTCAGTGATAACTAACAAAGGAGAGTTTGAGGAAGAACTAACTACAGAGCGCAGAAACGAGTGGATAAAAGCAATCGATAGAAGCGACACGGACACAAAGCAAGTTCTCGCTTCCGAACGTGTTTGTGGCAAACGTTTCGTAAATGGACAGCCAGCTCCTTACTGGAACAAGTACCACGAAGACTGGGTACCTACATTAATTCTCAGGAAAAAGAAATACGGAACTAAAATCAACTTCGAAGCTCAAGCTAAGAGAGACGGGAGGTCAAGGAAGCGGGAAAAGCTTGCACGCGAACGCCAAGAACGTGAATCAGCTGAGAAACAGAAGCTTTACGAAAGCAGCCTTCCTGTTGTCGAGATCGACTTTAGACAGTCAAGCTCCTCTAGAACGTTTGAGGGAAGTCAAGACAAAGGCGAAGAGGGGCTGAACGAGGAAGAATTGTTTGCAGATGTGATCGTGACTGAAGGCGAAGGTGAAAACAGAAAGGACGCCGGTTGTCAAACGACAAGTGGCACGACTGAGTACCAAGCGGCAGAGTGCCAAACTACAGAGTTTGAGTACATGTTTCAGAAAAGCAAATACCAAGCACCCAGCAAATATTTCTTTGAATCTGATGAGAAGGTTCGTTTTTACACTGGACTGCCTTCACAGGAAGTGCTTATGGTTGTTTTCAATCATGTTGCCCCATATGTTACTCAACAGACCCAGTCACTAGACAGATTTCAAGAATTTATGATCGTTCTTATTAAACTCCGGCTGAATCCACCGTTACAGGATCTTGCATATCGGTTTGCTGTAGCAGTATCTACCATTTCCAGAATATTTTTCCATTGGGTTGTTGTGATGGATGCCAGATTGTTTCCGTTTGTTTACTGGCCAGACAGGGACCAACTCTGGAGGACCATGCCTCAGTGTTATCAGTACGCATTTGGTAAGAAAACTACTGTTGTTATCGACTGTTTCGAAGTCTTTATCGAAAAGCCGTCCAATTTGCTAGCTAAGGCGCAGACATTTTCAAGCTACAAGCATCACAATACCATCAAGGTTCTTATAGGAATAACTCTACAAGGAACTATTTCTTATGTGTCTGAAGCCTGGGGAGGTCGTGTTTCTGATAAGTTTTTAACCGAGAATTGTGGTTTCCTGGAAAAGCTAATTCCAGGAGACATGGTTATGGCAGACAGAGGTTTTACAATTACTGAGTCTGTTGGACTTATGCAAGCAAAACTGGTAGTCCCAGCTTTCACAAAAGGAAAGGCCCAGCTGGACCCAGTGGATGTGGAAACGACAAGAGGTATTGCAAATGTAAGAATACACGTTGAGCGTGTTATTGGGCTACTACGAAGAAAATACACTGTTTTTCAGTCAACCTTGCCCACAGATTTCCTGATCTGTAATCACAGATACTCTGACCGACACACCCCTTTGGTAGATTCCATGCTAAGAGTCTGTGCTGCTCTTGTGAATTTTTGTCCTCCAATTGTACCTTTCGATTAGCTAAACTGAACACTGTTAGGTAATGCAGTATTTGCTGTTTCTATGGTTTAAAGAAAAATCCATAACCACCCAATGGAAGCCTATTTTGTCTTATATTGCAAACTCTTTGACTTATTGACGTATCTTACAAGAAAATAGAACACAAAAGCAGTTGACCAAAAACTAAGAAATGAAACGTCCTTCCATGGTTAAGTCATGCATATTTTCTTTATGGGTTGACTGAATGATGAGGACTGGTGGGTCCAGGGAGGATTGCCGCAGACCCCCTCCCTAAGGTTATGCTTTCGTAAGTTAAAGCCATTTTGTTGTTCAATCAATCACTAGAGTGAAAATAGGCAATGTATGGTTGGGAATGGAACCCATCTTTGCMAAATTCTAGACCCCACACCTTAAGGAAATAAGGTGGAACGTTTCATGTGTAATTTGGGTGAAATAAGTAGCATAACCAGCTTCACAAGAGAGGTCTTTAAGGACAGTATGACAGTCATTACAATTCATACTGATTTCTCAAACGGTACACCCCCATAACAATTTAAAAGGAAATGGCTAAATTTGTGTGGCCACTTAGAATGGTTTTATTATTTTTTTCCAAGCAATTATTTCCAACTCTTGCAAAAGACGTTTGTCAGAAATCTGCCTGACAAAATTGGTGCATGCACACCAGTGTAAAATGTTTAAAATAAGGTAAAAATCCTAAATTGTATATTATCGCATTGTATAATCCCAGAAAAGAGCTGTTAGAATACCTCCAGCACAGAGGGAATGGGAAATTCCAGAGGGTTGTAACTGTGTGTGTTGGGGGAGTAAATATACCCCTTATTTGCCATGCATGAATGCAAATTTCAATAAGAATGATATGGGAGAGATCTTTAGATCAACTGGTCCTGTGTTGGGGGTATAAATATTTTCTGGAATCATATATTCCGAGAAACTGATCCTTTTTTTTGATAAGATAAACACATTCTGATAAAAATAAAAGGCCGAGGTGATCATATTCCTGTCTGTGCAATATGTATAATTTTGTAAGAAAGGTATTGGCTACAGCTAAAATGTAGGGAACAAGCTTATTTTTCCATTTCTCAGACATGATGCTAAGTGAGGCCTCATGCTGGATACATTAAAATTTACAATTATTGGATCTTCTCCATAGACTAAACAGGTAGAAAATGCAATTGCAAAGACCCCACAATCACTCCCATTGTTTTGCTGCTTCACTGGCATGGGATTGAGAGCTACCAATTGACCCACTAGTAAGTCATTTGTCTGTTCCTCTATTTCTTGACTCAAAACAGAGCCAGTATAAAGACTGTCATACAGATTAACATGTCCAGGTGCACATCCGATTGAGCTCACACACACCCAATGGCTGTTTCCGGTATGGAGGATTTGAACAAACTCACTAGTAACAATGTTAAAATTCCTAACTGGGCCAAGTGTAGGTCTTTGAAAGCCTTCAATTGCTTGATTCTCAGACTGGAGTAGAACCTGGGCTTGGTGAATTATATCACAATCTAACCACCCAGTAGGACTAGTGATCAAATTAAAATGGGATTCTGTTAGCTTTGCTAAAGGACTGGTTTTATCAACTTCACCCTGTGTGACTTTGGTGAGAACAATGTCACTTTCATCCTCACTGTTAGAGGAATATATGGAAGAAGAACAAGTGGTAGCTTGGGCTGGGGTAGCTTTTTTGCATGCAGAACATTTCCATGTTGTGTTGTGATTGTTGGGCATCCTTTTGTAATTTAAACATGCCATATGAAAAAACTTCCCATTTTTGCAGTTTGTGCCATGACACTGTACTAATTTGTCTGTTAGGGTGGGTTTGGACTCGCAGATGCAAATTGTTCCACATTTTATAGCTGCTTAATTTGATGTAGCAGGTGGTACCTTTCTATTACCCTTTTTCCCTCTCTGGAACTGAGGAAGCCTACAGCAGTGAGGGCAGTACCATGCATTTGGTATTCCCACATTGGTGATAGATAGACAAGAAGGGTGAAATTCTTTATAAGGACATTCCACATTACTGCAGACAATGCTTTTCTCCTCCCTTTTCAGTCTACAGAAACAGATTGCMTCCTTTTCTGCTAATTTCAGTGGTATTGTGCAGCGACGCGTGTACCATCGTCCCAAGATCTCAGGGAGAATGCATATTCTCCAAACAGTTTCCAGTTTGGGCAAAACAAGGTTCCAGTGTTGCAAATCTGGGTATATTCTTTGTATCATCAAGTGAAAGTTGTTCATTTTGTCAATGGCACATACCACAAAGTCACAATAATTGACATWTGGCACTGTAAACAACTGCTGCTGTATTTGAGTATAGTAGCTGTGACCTTTCTTCAGCTGAAAATKACCATTAACCTTTTCCAGGCAGGAGCTCTTGTGTTTGATGTAGTCTTCAAAATTACCATCTTTAATGATGATGGGGCACTTCACTTCCCCACATCCATTCCCACAACATTCACAAGATAACAGGAAATCAGGTGTGGCATGAAGAAATCCCTTATCCTTGTTTATAAACATTCCACACTTTTATACTTCTAAGTTAACATGGTTTTCTCTTACAGATGCTTCATATGCCTTTATGGCATCACTTTCAAGATTTTGACCATGTTTAGTTGCAGCACTGTTTAATTTGTATAGGCTCGGGTAACAAATTGTCTTAATCAAGGACTGCGAGGGTTGTGCAAGGTTGGTGTGAAATTCAGCATGGCTTACAGACGCACCAATTCTGCCCGCACGGTGTCTATAAAATCCCGAACTCTTAGCCTGAGCTCGTGTGTTCATTTCCACTTTCTTTATGTGTTCATCGGAAATGTTTAGTGTAACCTCAGCACACATTTTCATAAGTTCTGGGTACTGAAGGTCAAGATATTCTGTTTGAAATAAATCTTAAATGATTGGGAGAGTGCGGCATTCATCAATAAATTGGTGGGCATATGAATCGATTAAGCTCAATGCTACTGCTTTGATCTTGCAATTATTGAGCTGGGCATAAACCCTCTGGATTTCCTCATCCGATGGACTCGCATTCGACGCAAATGTTTGTCCAGAGCGTTCATTTCTGATGTTGTCCTTCCCCTTATCCACAGTATTATGAGGCAGTGACTCAATTTTCTCGTCCAGAGATTTTTTCAGCAACCGCGCTGACGAAAAGTCGATATCTTTTACCCTCGAGTATGGTACTTCATTTACATACGTAGGTAATATCTACGAGCACTTTACTTGAGTGCAAGCAAGTCTTCCTTGAATCCGTGTGATGGCTTCTAAGTAGAAAAGAACGCACGCTACATGAGAGCATGTCTCTCCCAGTCCTGCCTTACAGTTTAAGCAATGTGCTGAAGCAACGGTACCGTCTTTCTCTGTGATGATCCAAATATTCACTTGCGGAGCGCCCATGGTTTGCGTGTCGCACTTCAGCAACAACAAGGAATTTACACGCGATTTCCTTTCCTCTAACTGATGCGACAAAACCAGAAACCATGTACTTGTAAGTTTCTAAACCTTTGAATGCCTTGAATTGGTCTTTTGTGTAGTGGCTTGTCTCTAAAACTAAGTATGAAAGCAAATCTGAGACTTCGACAGGGGGCAAACATTCTGGACTGAATTCCTCGCTCGGTAAAGCTGCCGGATCCACTCCTATAACAGAAATCTGTAATAGAAATGGCTATAATTTACATGTGATATCACGCCTTGCATGAGCACCAACATAGCGGAAGTGTTAATTTGCATAAACTTGTGACGTCAGCTGAAAACCAAGAATTTAAGAGTATCCTTTTGTCAAATGACTGTATTTAAGAGTATCCTTTTATTCCAATGACCGTAATTAAGAGTATAATCATGTTTTCAAATGACCGTATTTAAGAGTATTCTTTTTTGAAATGACTGTATTTAAGAGTATCCTTTTTACAAATAACCGTACTTTTAAAATGGTCGTTGACATGTCAGTAATGATGTCATTCCATAATAAGTGGTTACTAAAGAAAAAGGTTTCTCATCCAAAACAACACCTACAAATTAGATTAAGAAGGAAGTTTGCTTCTTGGAGCACTAGTTTGCGAATAATGCTATCAGATAATGTCTCCTTACTAGTTGAGTCATGAAACATTTTCACTGCAACAAACATACCACGATAGCTCTTTTTGATGCAGTTGTCCCCCCATATTTGCACATATTTCCATCAGT